GAGCTGGAGGAAAGTCTGGGCATCTTTGCTTAGACTGCTGCCCCCGTGACCCGGTCCCAGATAAGCGGAGGAAAATGGATGGATGGATAAAATCATTTAAAACGTCATGAATGTATTTACATTCATTAATTATCCTTTAATTAACACATTATTTGATATGGACCCCTGAATCTGCAAATGGGTTTTCACAAAAATAAGGTATTTTTCATTGTATAATTAAAGGTTGCACATTGTTCATTTCAGTAGGCACTATTTTAGCCTAGGCTATTGGCCTATTTTGGAACACTAAGTACGCCGAATCAGCTAGTAGCAGTTAATTTTTCTACCTAGCCTACTGTTTAATGTGCTGTCAGAATTACATAGATAACCTACTAAAGAAATCTTAAAACCCCAGTGTTTCTCCAGCAGGTTCGGAAGCTTGCCAACTCCTGCTCAGTACAGTTCATGTATATCGTGAGGGCTTTAGTGAGTTACACTGTTGGCAGCGACTTTGAGGCCGTCTATATTTGTTTACATTTTGGAACAATAAGTATGCTGAATTAGTTATTAACAATTCACTTTTGCTATGCACTATTTGATATAGTGACAACTACCACTGAATTACTCGGATACTGAGAAATTCGTTAAAACCTGATGATTTTCAGGCAGGTTCTGCAGCGTTCCAACCCCTGCATTATCTCATATTTTCGAGAAAACGATCTCGTAATATGATATTCTTATCTCATAACTACGAGATCCTGAGAAAAAGATCTCGTAATTATGAGATAGTAAGTCATAATTACGGGATACGAGCCTCCATTTTTGTGCTTCCTTGGAGTGGAAGTAGCACAAAGTCTTATGCTTAAGTAAAGTTCAGATATCTCAAAACAGTACTTAAGTACAGTATTTGAGTCAATGTAATCCGTTACTTTCCCACTGGATCGTGCATAAAGAGGGGGAGGGTTTGTCTTCACATTTGATTAGAGGGTGGGTGTTGTCTTTTGCCCTCGTTCAGTGCGACGTTTTATTAAAGTTGCAAGATGGCGACGGTGCATCTGAGGATTGGTGATTTAGTGTGGTGAGATAACCTTTAAACACTGTTACACATCTCAGTTTCTGCTATATAATGTTGTGTTGCATAAAGTTGTGCTGTATGCATTAGTTTAACGTTGATAATCATTATTGGATTTAACCAGACGTAATTCATGTTTGCGTACTATTGCTAACCAAGCTGACTCAGGCAACAGCCGTCGTTAGCTCTTAAGCTAGCGAGCAAGATGCAGAAAGGGGTTAAAACGAGATTTCTTGGGGACACAAACCTGTCTTTGTTATCGTGTTACAGTTATAATTCTTCCGCCGGCGTGATTAGCTTAGTTCCATCAAACACTTTCTTTGTAATGTTATAGAAAAATATGGTCTGTGGGGAGCTTTGCTAAATAGCTTTTTATCTTAGCGGATCTCAACTGTTAACTTTGCATCTGTGCCACTTCCGTGTATTGTAGCAGCCCCCAAAATTCGTTTATCTGTTTCCCCTTATGTCGAAGTTAAGTAATTTTCTTATATGCTTGCTACAAACACCATTCAGTATTACTCCCATACCATACACAGTTTTTGATATAATCAATGTATTTTTTAAAATGTTACATATTATGTTAAATATAATAAGCTAACGTTAATAATGCACAACATATGCTATAAATGTTTTGGTGAACTATAGCTTAGTCACTTAAAAACATATACAAATAAAAATAACAGTATCAGACAATAAACCATTCTATGTTGTGATAAAGGAAAAGCAATATAAGGCCTATGCCAATAGGAGGATTTAAAAGAATGCTTTTCTTCTACCCGATACCAGTCAATCAACATACAGCTTGCCTGACCTGTACTGGCCATATAGACACATGTACTGGATCGTTGAAAAAGTCAAAAGGTTTGATTCATGCTGTGTAGTAACCAGTACATACACATGTAATCATAAAAATTATGATTATGACTTATGGCACTGCTGTGACTGGTGTGTTTTTGTTACTCTGCAATTATACCACCAAAATGCTACCTGGTGGGAGGGTTTCTATCCCACTGTGTTGTGTTTCCTTGCCACTTAGTAACGGTGGTGACTGAAACCGTGTAGGTCATGTTGGAGTTAAAACTAATAGATGTTCAACAGCAGCTACTTTTACTGAAATTACTGCAAAACAGATAAGAAGAAGAGAAGGTCTGTATGACCAATGCACTAACTGAGGGTGTCTTTTTTTTTTTTTTTTTTTTTGTGCTTGTCCAGCCAGAGAGAGACATGAACAAGAAATGCAATGCAACTAATCACAGTTGTTGCGGTCTGCATCACCACAATGTGTAGCTACATTTCTGGAGAGGTGTACATCAGGCTACGGTGTAGGGTACAAGGCTGCACATTACCTATGACATAGATTCAATGCAGAACAATAAATCAAGCTTTAAAGCTGACACTTGCGTAATGCTAAACCGTATTCAATGTTGGGTAATGCTAAACAGTAGTCGGTGTTAATCAGCTACCCCAGAGCCATGTAATGTTGCAAGAGGAAATATTTGTACTGCTTAAGAGGATACAATGTAGGGTTTGTAGAACCATATTAATATTGAGTGCCATGGTATAATTTATGGATACCTAAACAAAACTACATCATGAGCTGCACCAGATATGCCAGTGTTGTACTTGCATTGTATTATGTTGTAAGATTTTTGCTATTTTCTGTATTCTCTGTATTGCAATAGCTTAAAGGATGAGGTTAGTCATCCTCTATAGTATTTTCAGCTCCTCTTTGGCACAGAACAATAAGCTGATCCCGGCATTTACCATGTGTAGAGGTAATTCATTGTCGGTTTTAGTCAATAGAGACAGAGCACATTTAGGCCACACCCACACTCGGGGGTGGGGAGGGCAATTCATCTTACTCTATTGACTTTGTATTGAGTGAAGGTGTCTTTTGACAATTCAATCTTTTTACAAAAAACTGCTCAATGATTAAACAGGGCTCCAGACTGCAAGTGATCTGTTGTATTTTGCAAACAAATTTAAGGTCGCACAGGGTGTGACTGCAAAACAGGTTATACACAAATGACTGTTCTCACTGTAGAAATAGTGGACAGACGTAACTGTCATCAAAACATATATCTGCAGGTTTGTTATTCACCTGTCTCATGAGGCAGAGACTGCAATTTTTTTCAAATGTGTCGATCCACACTGACGCTGAGATGCATCACCCCTGGACTCCTTTCTTTTACACTCAGCATCAGTTTTTCCTTTGGTACATTTGAAGTGTAATCGCCACAGACAGCAGCTTAAATCAGGTAGATCACTTGTTAGCCTATATAGTAAACTTCTTACTTAAATCTCTTCTGATGGATCAGGCTCCTGGTGTCACTGCTGTCACTGAAGAACCTGTCCTCCAGCTGACAGACAGCTGTTTGGATGAAAGACGCTGCACAGAAGTCGGAATCAGTATGGGCTGAACGGATTAAACACTTAAGGCGTGCATACGCGCTGCACATGTCTAGTAAAGTCCCAGTTAGTAGTGGTTGAAACTTATCAAGTCCTTTGTTAAGTAGTAGGCTACAAGTAACTTCAGCCAAAAGAGCTGGCACTAGCAGACATTCAGTATACGTTTCTGAACAACAAGCATTTTGTCACTGTTAAGTCAAATATCTAAATGTCAGTTTAGGTTACTATATTTCTGTAAGTTAAAGCATTTAGACAGTATGTCAGAGTTTGTGTTATAAAGCAGAAGGCTATGCAGTAACATGTTTGCGAGTGCCTTAGCTAACTACATACAGTAGCTTGCTAATACACAGCTAACACTATGACAGCTAGTTTGTCCCATCATCATATTGGTTATCAACTGCACCCCAACTTTTCTCCAGATCTGTTTCTGTTTTGGCAATAGTCTTGTCCTGCTGTGTTTTAGCAAGCTGCTGTAATTAGTTAAGGCACCTAAAAACATACCAAGGTGTTTGCTGCACACAGACATATAGTGAGTATCAGGGTCCCTGTTTCCTTATTGATCCTGCTAAAGCCACACGTTGTCTTCTTAAAGCTTCAGTGGTTTTTGCTTTAACTCTGGGTACCTTGCTTTCTTGGTAGTGCATCCTGTCACACATCAGCTTTTAGGCATTTTTCATTTTTTGTAAAAAGACATCTTCACTCAATACAAAGTCAATGGGTGATACGAAAAATATGTCAAGGTCCAGTACTCAGCCTTTAGTAGTATGTAGGCTATTGGTTAGATGAGACTGAGTGCTGCACAGTACAAAGAAGCGTCTTAGTAATTAAATCATCAAATTCATGGAGCATGTTGAAATGTTTGCTAGCCAGCAAGATATATTCCCGGACTAAACGTATCACTCTTATTTCAGGGGGAAGCTGGGTCGTTACCCACCATGGCCAGGAAAGGTAATAAGTGAAGACATCAATGGCTGGATGGGATTAATTCTAGCATTTGCATGAAAACTTTTATGCTTATGTTTTTACTAAAACATTTATTGATATTTCAGATAGTCAGTCCTCCAAAGGACCTGAAGAAGCCCAGAGGCAAGAAATGCCATTTTGTGAAATTTTTTGGAACTGAAGACCAGTAAGTATGGATTGGAAGGTACCTGTACTGACTTTATAATACCTTCCTCACTAAATGTGTAAGAGCTGTCTATCTTGTTCCTGTCCAGTGCCTGGATCAAAGTAGAACAGCTAAAGCCCTACCATGCCCACAAGGAGGAAATGATCAAGATAAATAAAGGAAAACGCTTCCAGCAGGCGGTCGATGCAGTGGAGGATTTCCTAAAGAAAGCAAAGGGGAAAGAACAGGTAAGGGGGTTGTACTCTTTCTGATGATTCATGCTGTTCTGAAGACTTTGTGTTTCTTTGTTGTCATTCAGAAAGTCATTTTCTTGCTTTGTTAGAGCTGGAGTTTTAGTCACAAATAAGTGGAAGACTCAGAACATCACAATTTGATGAGATGTGACTATGCCATAGAATTTGAGATTAGATTTGTTTCAATGAGAATTTGAAATCTACAGATTTCTCTTTCAAAATGTGCCCATACAGACATCATGAATATCTTACTGACTTAAATTAAAGCTTCAAAACCTACCTATTGCTATTGTGAGATTCCAGAATCAGTCACTTCCACTCTCCCCAGCCCTCCCTCTCCCTCCTTGCTCCACTCTGCTCCACACCCCACCCGACCCTTTGAGAACGCAAAATGTCACACAGTTTGGGGAAGTTATTGGACAGCATTCAGCTGGTGGGCATGAAAATAATGTATCTCACCGAGCAGACTGCCCTGCTTCATGTCTACTGTAAAACAGCACAACTGTGTCGCAACGTCCACTATATGACATGTGGACATGACACATTTACAGCCAGCACAGTTTGTGAACATTGGCAAAGACATAAGAGTGGGTCCTGCACGTCCACAGAAAAATTTTGTGAAGACATTTTACACGGTTGTATCACAAAAAACACTTAGCCACTCAAGTTTATTTTTATCATATATGGGACACATGCTGTTCAAAAACGCATCTGAAATTGAAAACACACTATCTATTATAGCTGTATCTGAAGAGAGAGATGCATGGCTAATAATGCATAACTTTTCACTGCAGCTGCAGCAGGTTTCAAACCAGGGTGACAAGAGGCCGATTCCCAGGGAGAAATCACCAAGTTAGTTAAGACTACAATACATTCAGCTGGTGGGCATCAAAATTATGTAATTTATGGTCAATTGATTTGACAGCCGTGGCAGACCAATTGGTAGCTTGTGTATGAACTTGCCTGGATGTAACTGGCTGATTATTATAACTGAAAGTAGCAACACACTAACATCCTTAACTAAACCAGCTGCTGTTACAGTCACACTGGGAGTGCAGATGACACATTCTGGTATGATTTAGCTACAAGCACAAATGGTAGTGGTTTGAATCCTTATCGAACTACTATAAATAATAATTTCACAACATACTAGTCAAGCAGTAATGATTGCCAAATCAGCATCTGTTTGTAAATCCCTCTTCTCTGTCAACTGTCTCCATCTGCTGAGAGATGCACTGTTATATAACTGCATGAGCTAAATCCAACTGTGTTGGTTTCTATTCTTCCTTCTCTTTTTTTCCATGTAGCTGCCTCAGCTAACACTGAAATCAGTAGTTTGCTAGCTCGTGACCATGTCAATAGAGCTGAAGCATGTTCACATATTGACTGACAGCCATGTGCTCCCACACATGTCTGTCGACTCAAATAACGCACACGTGTTTGTAATTAAGTTGCATCTTTTGGAAAAGAATATCACTGAACTAATTCCAAGCTGTTTGGTGGGTCTGGGGTCAGGAACCTTCGACAGCAAGTCTCACCATTAAGACAGGTTTTAGGGGTGTTTCTAACAAAAAGAATATTTGAATGAATGTCACTTCTGGCTGTTCACGTTAGGGGCCACCACAGCGGATCATCACACTAACGACTCGCATATTGAAGTTTGGCACATGTTTTACACCGGATGCCTTTCCTGACACAACCCTGAATTAAACCCGGGCTGCGGTGGCGAGAGCACTGAATCCTAGCCAGTAGTCCATCAGGGACCCCAAAAAGAATTTTTGAATAATGTTACTTAATGGAGCTTTACATAATGTACTGTATGTGTATGGTAAAGAGCTGCCCTCTAGATGTTGCTGATTTGAAATTGGCAGTCCAGGAACAAACATTTTGCGCTGTTGTCAGTCAAAGCATCAGATGTTTTTTCTGTATCATTTTTTTTGCATCACACAGAGCAGCATGGGGTAATAACATGACAGTATTGCAAACAGTCTTGGTTCAAATTGAACAAATTGCACGTGTGAGTGGAAGCGGAGAACTTTGGTGGAAAAGGACAGCAGAGCTGTGTAGTACATGCACTGCTTGTTCAGTTGATTTTGCACACACTACAATCAGCTGCGGTGCTGAATGCTAGAGAAGTCAGTCTGACCCACACGAGACTATGGCACCAATTACTCTACCATTGTCTAGTGTAACTGCCACTTTGTGAAAGCTCTGTTAGGAGCCCTGCAGGAGTGGCGCTTCTTTGTGGTAGTAAAAGCACTAAAACATGAGGCTTGACCAATAAGCTGTTGCAGGAGTTTAACAGGGGCGGGCAGCTGCTTTGCAGGTGTGCTGGGCTGTAAGTGTAACTGGGCAGTAGGGCCGGACCGATACATCAGCATTGCTGATATCATCGGCCGGTATGAGTTATTTGCAGATAAATCGATATCAGCGTTTTATAACAGCTGATTAATAACAATTTATAAAAGGAACAGAGACATGAACGACTGCTCCTTCTACCATGTTATGTGTTGTTGTTGTGTAGGCTGAACACCAGAGGGTGCTCTACAATTCCCCTTTTGGAAACGCGCTATTAGATCAAATCACAACAATCAGCTCATCCAAGCAGAGTGGAGTGGGCATAAACATAGGAGCACACCACAACAGAGAGCCTTTGTGTGCATGGTACATTGGTAGTTGTCATGTGAAGTAGCTACACTACTTAAATAAGAAAGAAAGAAAGCTACACTACTTAAATGTTAATTTAAAAAATATGCCCACGGGCATATGTGAAAACGGTTAGGGTGTCCAATGTTTAAATAAAATCTTAAATATAAAATAAGATGCTGATGTTTATATTGTTCTCTCCTGTGCCTGCGTGGTTTCTCTCTGGGTACTCCGGCTTACTCCCACAGTCCAAAGACATGCAGCTTAGGTAGGTAGGTAGGTACTTTATTGATCCCTCAATGGGGAAATTTCAGTGTTTCAGCAACAATGGAGAAGAAACAACATAACACCATGAGAAACAAACACCACACACATATCTTGATAAACAAATTTCAGTACCTCAAGCAGCAATAGAGAACAGACAGCATAACGCCATGAGAACAAGCACGGCACACACATCCTGATAAATAAATTCCAAGTACTCAAAAATAGACGGAATCAAGTATTTGAATAATCAAGAACAGAATTTACATATGTGCATAGTAACCATGCATTTTACCCCAGGATTTGAGTATTGCACCTCAGTTGACTATTACATAGTCCCTCATACTTTCACCTAGCTTATCCCTGTAGTGATGTATTGTACATTCTGATTGCTGTGGGGAGGAACAACCTACGGTAACGCTCCTTCTTATGCTGGGGATGTAACAGTCTTGTGCTGAAAGAACTGTTCAGAGCCTCTACTGTGTGGTACAGGGGATGGGAGGGGTCATGCATGATGGATGTTAGTTTTACCAGCATCCTTCTGTCCGCCACCTCCTCGATGAAATCCAGGGGGCAGCCCAGGACAGACCCAGCTCTCTTGACCAGCTTGTTGAGTCTCTTTCTGGCCCTTCTTGTACAGGGCATCAGTGTTTTCAGTCCAATCCATTTTATTGTTGAGGTGGACCCCCAGGTATTTAAAGGTGTCCACAATCTCAGTGACTGAGTTCTGAAAGCTCACCGGAGTGAGTGCTGGTGATTTCTGCCGGGGATCAATCACCATCTCTTTAGTCTGGTGTTCAGGCAGGACCAGGTGATTTTCCTCACACCACTTCACAAAGTCAGTAACAACCCCCCTGTATTCCCACTCACGCCCCCCCAATACACCTCCAACAACTTTTGTAGGTCATAGTGGTGGGAGTTGTACTTGAAGTCCGACGTGTAGAGGGTGAACAGAAAGGGGGAAAGCACCGTCCCCTGGGGCGCCCCCATGCTGCAGGCCACCACGTCCAACACACAGTCATGCAGCCTTATGAACTGAGGTCTGTCTGTGAGATCATTAATGATCCATGCAGAGAGGTGTTGGTCCACACCTGCCCCCTCCAACTTCCCTCTCAGCAGTGATGGCTGGATTGTGTTGAAAGCACTGGAAAACTCAAAAGAACATGACCCTCCCCATGCTTCCGGGGGACTCCAAATGAGATAGGGCTCGATGCAGCATGTAGATAATGGCGTCATCAACCCCAATGCCAGGACGGTATGCAAACTGCAGCGGATTTCACCTGGGCACAGAGGTGGCCCGAGAACAATGCTCTCCATGGTCTTCATCAGGTAGGAGGTCAGGGCAAAGAGTCTGTAATGGTTCGGCTTCTTAGGATGAGGTATTTTGGGAACCAGGACAACACAGGATGTCTTCCATAGGGCATAGGTTGATTGGCGACTCTAAATTGCCTGTAGGAGTGAGTGTGTGTAGTTGTTTGCCTACTGTACATGTCAGCCCTGTGATAGGCTGGTGACCTGTATCCCGTCTCTTGCCCAATGGCAGCTGGGATTGGCTCCAGCCCCCTGTAACCATATTTAGTAATAAGCGGTATAGGTAATGGATGGATGTTTACCTTTTCTAGTGAGTGGGTAGACCTCTTTCCGGTCAGGGAATTCACTCATGCATTTTAGAAGTAAAATGGGGACTTTATTGAGTTCACCGAGTATGAAGCGGCAAAGATATCGCATTTCTGCGAGTTTGTGTTCTGCTTGTTCTACGGCTGTTTGCTCAACTGCTCATACAGTCTCCATTAATGGTTAATTATGTTGCATGTTTCCTCATAGGTAGGCTACTCTTGAGAAGCTAAGTGTGACAGTATTGCTTTGAACAAACCACTAGGATATAATGTGATAACTAAAATGTAAAATGCAGGGCTTTAACAGTATTTTTGTAGAGATGCCCTGATTGCAATTATCTTGGCCAGTTCCTTTTTCCTTTTATTTTTTTAAGTGTGACCTGCTGATTCCAATTTTGGTAGATTCCAATTTTCTTTCTTTCTAAGAACTGTGATTGATAGCATACACAGACATTTTTGTAACCTTTAATTAATAAAAAAAAGTAATACAAATAAAACATTGTATTATTCTTTCATGTTTTTATGAATTTCCCAACTAAAAATGATGTGCAGTATTTGTACTTCTAATATAAACAGGTGCAACAGGTTTTTGTAGGCTCCTCTGTAAGGTTTTTGTATACCAAGTGCTTCCGGTGGCCAAGTGAACACACACCCGGTATAGACAGGAGTGCAAGTCTCACTTGATGTGCATGTGAGATGCTACGCGCTGCACATGCTGTGCCTTTATGGCAAGCCATTGAGCTCAGTGGTTGCGAGTGCATTAACACACAAATATACTATTAGCATTGGAAGAGGCTGGCCACATTTGTTTTCCCCATGAGGCAGTGAATTACGTTACTACATGAGATATGGAACTAGGAGTAAGGGGTGTGAATTTGGACAAATTGCATCCAACGTGGTGTTAAGGTTGAACTGTAAAATCTGTCTGAATTAACGATAGTTACTTCAGTCCACCATCCTCTCTTCTTTCTATAAACTCCTGAATGAAGGGCCCAAATACTTTTTGAAAGTAAGACATTTTAATTTGGTTCTTAATTAATTTTCATTTGGCATCATAGGGTATAGTTGGTAATGGGTAGAAATTAGGGGTGGGATCATGTACACAGTCTATAGCATAATCGCTTAGGCAATGACCCGACTCAGAAAAAAAAAAAAAAAAAAGTGAATAAACAAGCAAAGTGGGTGCATGCGTGCAACAAAATGTGCCTGTAGCATTACAACTGACTGTAACCGTAGGGACACTTTCAGATGCAAACCAGGCATGATGTAAATAAAGAGTTAAAACTTAGTAGGCAAAATGGGCAGAGAGGTAAAATGGTGACATTGGTGATCAGCTGTAAACAAAAAAGTTGTGTGGTGATATTTTGACTTGGAGGGAGGCAAGAAGACAGTAAAATGTCGATTGTACCAGGTCATGCTAAAATACTTCAAGAGCACTGGTTCAATGTTTTATTATTATTATTATTATTTTTTATCGCCAGTATACACTCACCACATCCAACTGTTTTTATTTATTTATTTTTTTTTAAATATTCCATATAGTAACGCTAAAGTGCTGGTGTGTTCATTTGACCTGTTCCTGCTACATTTGCTCTCCCACAGCAGCAGTACGTTGGCTTTTGTCCTCTATTGCTCTTCAGTTGTCTCTTCCTGACTCTCTCTTTCTGCTTCAGCAGCACTGGGTGAAACCAATAAATATTCAAAACAAATCAAGTAGATTTCTAATTACACTGATTGGACTGATCAGCTTTCCCATGTGTTTTTTGATATTCCCCTGGACTAAGGGGGCAAACATTCAGCATCAGAGTTTATGAACTAGTATTAACTTTTGTTCATTTGAATACCAGTCCATATATGTCCATGCTATTTACAGTGTGCTAACCTAGACAACAGCACTGTTCTAATGTTAGATTAGCTAGCCTTACTAGCTTGCTAATACGGAAAGGAGGAGCTGTTCACAGCCGGTCCATCATCATGGTTGTCATGTTTTTGTGTGCGTGTGAAAGGGAAATAGAGTGGGGCACTGACGGACTCAGTGAATACATGCTCTATGCGTGGCACTACACTGAAATAAGAATTCACCTATTTTAAATCAATATGTGGAGGTCAGCATTGATATTGTGGTGCCCCGCAACAAATAAATCAATGTATGTAAAACACTGCATGCTGGTGTTCTTGAAGTGGAAAAAAAAAAACTGATTTACACCGAGTGGCCACTTTATTAGGTATATCTTAACATCTGTTTATGACGTCCAAAATGTTTGTTTTTGGTGAAATTCTCATAAAGGGTAATATTGAAAAAACATGCGGGAAAGCTGATCATTCCAGTCAGTGTGATTAGCGATCTAATTGATTGATTTCAAATATTTACTGCCATTGTTGAAACGGCAAGAGAGGTTCAGGAAGAGAGGTACGTTAGTAGAGGAGGGAGGCAAAAGCCATAATGCTGCTGCTGTGGGAGAGCCAACTAGTGCAAGCGGGACAGGTCATATGAACAGCATGGTTACAGGCTACTACAGTGTTTCTATATTGAATACAAAATAGGAAAGCATGATCCCCCACCCCTGTGAGCTGCCGCCACAAGTAGAATCTACTTCTTTTGGAAGCACTGCTACATAATATTTAGAGGTATTTCCATATGTCCGTCCTCCCCAGCTACAGCTGCATACATGGGTGTCAGAATATTACATCTCAGAATGTAGTCCAGTACAACACTACCTTTAACTGTGACCTCAATAATGAACATTTAATTGAATTTATACATTTATGGTGTTTGATTTATAATGTCGACTCAAATAACGCACACGTGTTTGTATATTCTGTCCAATCACATAAAGTGGACGGCTGACATCGACACAGTTTAGTGTTGAATACAAACCCTGTTTCCAAAAGAAAAGTGACGGAACGAAACTGAGATCATCCAGACGGACAAACTGGAGCGTAATCTTTATGAGGGGCTGTGGAGATGAACGCGAGATGTAACGATCAGCAGCAGAAATGAATGTTACATTTAACTTTAGTGATGCTGAGATTTAAACGGACTGTTTTACCTGTGAGTTATCAGCAGTGCACAGGATGGCCAAACCTTGGCACACACTAACCAGTCCCAGCCCCATGCACAGCTCATGTGGAGCTTAGTGAACAACCAATAGATTTTGGATTCTGTTTAACAATGGAGCAGAGAGCATCTGTTTTCTATAGATTTAGGAGGCATTTGATGACTGGTCATGACAAACATGGGGGGCAATTTCTGTCTTTCATATTTTGGGTGAGACCAGACCCCTGTGGAGATGACGCCAAAGTAATAAGATTATCTAAGGCTATAACATTCACTTTGTGACAAATAGCTACTAATTCACACTGTTATTCTGCCACAGCAGAGAATAAAGTCAGTCTAACATTTGATTGTGTGGACAGTTATAGTTGCTACCATAAGAAAAGTGTTTACATGGCCCTCAAAACAAGTCATAACTTTACCTTGCACATGCAGATGTGTGTGTGTGTGTGCGCTCTGGTTTTTCATCAAATAGCAGTACACCTCTGGCTGTATTGTTGCTAAAAGTAGTTGCAAAATGTGACTAAATGGTCAGTCTGGAGCCCTGGAGAACTAGTAGAAATAATGTTGGGTTATTTCTCCTGTAACTTTCTAAGGAAGGAGGAAAACATATCTTTTTGTTCAGATTACATGTAACTTGCTCAGACAAGCCTTTCTTTTTTCTTTTTCTTTTTTTTTTTTAAGCCAAGCTCAATTCAGAAAGGTTAGCAGACTTCTAGACTCTTTTGACATGCTGGAATGGCAGCACAAAATGATCATCTGTGTTTTGTTTTTTTTTTCTTTTTGATAGAACTCAGACTACAAAGCAGATTCAAAAGGAAAGAAGGCAGCCAGCAAGCCACTGAAGATACTGGAGGAAGATGACGAGGATCTCAGTGCTCTGAAAGACCCCTCTGAGAAGGTCAGTAGGTCACTGACATATTAAAAACTTTACCCTGTCGAGCATTATTTAAGTACTCAATGTACAGTATTTTAGAAAAAGTAATTAGGTAAAGGAGAAGCGGTGATGTGGAGATAGAATAATTATAGATTTTCTGAACCAAGTCCTCCTCTCCTCAGTGCATCAAGTTACTTACAGGTCCTTTCACTTGTTTATTGGAATTAATTAGAATGCATAAACGAACCATAGAGGTAACATATCCACATCCCTTCCTAATTTACTTTGAGGAACATTGTTTTTAATCATTTCAATTATTTTCGCATGCATATATAGGCAAACTGGTGATCTTCAGCCCGTCTTTGCTCCTAAAGGGCTAGGCCTTTTCTGTGTGCCACTTTTGTATCAAATCATGATTGTAATCACCTGCTTCAAATGGAGCCATCATTTCATTGTTTTACCTCATTACTAGTCCTGAAATGCAACTCTCCCAACTTTTTTTTGGAATGTGTTGCAGGCATCAGAATTGACGTGAATGTTCATTTTGAACAAAGAATAAAATTGATGAGGTATCACATCAAGTAATGTGCTGCTGTATTGTACAGATGATTTACACATCACTATTTAATTTTGATTTAACATACCGTCCCAACTTTTTCTGATTTGGGTTTGTACAATCCAGAGAATTATCCACAAAATCACTGGGACACACTAGGAAAATGCAGCAGCATGCCATATGAAACAGTAGGATAGTTTAACATGAAACGCTGTGGATGTAGACGTAACATTAATGTCCCTTTTGGTCAGATATCTTTTGTATTTCTATCAATCAGTTCCAGGATTAAAATGGTGGATGTAGATGTAACATTAATGTCCCTTTCGGTCAGATATCTTTTGTACTTCTATCAATCAGTTCCAGGATTAAAATGGGGCAGTCAACCATAAATCATCCTTAACTGTTTGCTACAAAGATCTCAGTGTTTTAATGGTATCTGACAATTTAGTGTCACCTCTCAAGCTGAACCCGGTCAAGAGCATTTTACTACAAGGTGAGTCCAACTTCTGCAGAGCAGAGGGACACTGTGCAAACAAAACACAGTTTTCCACAAACCTCAGGATAGATGGGAACAACACATGTAACCATGGTAATTGTGCTACAAACCAGGGTGAAGAACATGAAGCGTACAGTAAATATTAAAACTGCAGCCAAAAAAAAAGACTAACAAAAATTAAAAGACTAAAAGTTGACAAACTAATATACATTTTGTCAAAAGACTAAAACAAAATCTAATTCAGGTGTCACAATTAACAATGCACTGGGGTTGGCTCACCCAAAAAAAAAGTTTTCTCTTATTTTTAGTGGTATCTGTCCATGCAACTCAATTTGGTATTTGTTCAGGATTTGAGATTCCTGTCTGCCTTAGATTTCTGCCAAGGTTGAGGCAAATTAAATTTTGTATTTTGGCCCTTAACATTGTCTCCTCCATACATGAGAGCATTAACCCCACTATAGCAGACTTGGACCTCTACAAATTCACCCTTTAGAAAATAATTAGAAGGTGAATATCTGTTTCTCTCCTCCTTAAGGACTTAACTGACTCTGACCCCGAGCCATCCACTATTGAGAGGCTGGGGACTGGACCTGGCTCAGGATTCAAATGGGAAAGCAGTGTAGGTGAACCCCCCCTTCCCACCAAGCCTGCCTTGCCTTGCTGTTCTTCTACCTGATCTTAACCTTTGGCTTTAATCACCAACAGCTGCAGACCTTTCCCTTCTGACTTGTTTGGTGCTCACTCTTGACTGCTGAAACTGTTTGGCATGTACTATAGAGATGGTCATCAGTTCTGTATGTGGAGGTTCAAAAGGAAACTGAAGTATGCTTCAGCTGACCCCGATATGTGGTCCTGGTTAACTTTACATGACCATATGATAGCCAACCTGCTCCTCGGGACCAGAGTTGATGACCACTCTGATTAAAATGCTCTTAATCTGGTGTGATCACCAGGCATGTGTATGTTTGTGTAAAGAAACATTTTGCCACCAGATGAAAGATGAGTCAATTGGTCATATTTATGTCAATGGAAACACTTTCACAATCATCAAAATAGTGAGTTTGCTGGTAAAATTCTTCAACAATTTTGGTATTCCAGAAACTTCATGAAATGTGATATGAGAATGATGTACTGTATCCCCAAAAGGCCTCAATTGACATCATTATTAGTAGTTATTCTTCACAGAGGAGGTGTGTCCCTGCTTTGTAACTTTTTTGTCAGTTAATGCAAAGTCAAGCGCTCCAACTCTCAGCCTTCCTTATGGCCTGCTCTAAGCAGAATCAGTCCAGCTCCTTGTTTCATTTGTCATTTTATCTAAAACACAGCTGCTGTTGTCACAAATGTTTCATACAATTCCCCAAAGCTTTAAACAATGTTTACTTGATGTGCAGGCTTTGGCTGAAAGAGTTTGCATGGTGATTCAGTTCAGTTCAACTCAGTTTATTTGTATAACTCCAAATCACAACAAAAAAATCATCTCAAGGCACTAGAGATGTTATAGACCTTACAGAATTCTAGAGAAAAACCCAACAAATCCCCCTTGAGAAAGCACTTGTGAAATGGGGAGGAAAAACTTCCCTTTAACAGAAGAAACCTCTGACAGAACCAGGCTCTTCGTGGGTGGCGATCTGCTCAGTTGGATGTGGTGAGTGTATACTGGCGATAGAAAAGAGCATCAGTAGACCTTATATAAGCTAATGTGGAGAATTGTGGACCAGTGTTTCCCACACATAGACTTTATTTTGGCAGGCCGCCCAGTACGGATGTCCCACTCTACTGTTTTTGGCCCCGATGCCGATCTGATTCCTTCCATATTAAGTATCTGCTGATACCGTTTCAGATCCGATACTTATTTACTTACAGTAAATATTCATTAAATATCCTACATATTGAAGTTATTCTGGCACACTGTAGTTTTCATTAACTGGGAGCTGAACAACACACACTCAACTACAGATCCATTACAGGGCAGATATTAACTACTACATATCGGTATGTGAACACACTTTGTGTAACCAGTCCTGTTTAGATATCCGTGTCTGCATTAACAAAAGGTGGTGGTTGTTGTAGCACCATTGGAAAAATGCATACGACTTATTGTGTCGACAGCGAAAGCGAAGCATCTGCAGTGCGTGACATCTCGTGTGCACATAGTTGGAGGCGCATGCTCATGTATGTACCGGGCACGTGTTCACTTGTGCATAGGAAACGCCTGGTGAACAAACACACAGAGGAGTCATCGGAAACATTTAGGAGAAGGAAAAACTACTGTCCACAGCTCAGACAAATAATAGGGAGGGAATTACTCGCTACACCTGCATGTATATGTACAATTTATCTAACCCATGGTAAAGCACAGCAAATAAAAACTCCACACACTTTACAAAGAGCTCCGTGTTCAGTAGGTTTGATGTAGCAGATGATAGATCATGTGCTTTATTTCTTTATTTATTTTGGTGGAGTTCTTGCCAGAACAGGTGAGCTTTTATTCTTTTGGTGCATTCTGAGGAGCGTTTTACTTGTGTAGCTCTGAAAAAAATAGACTTGAAGCTAAACGTAAGCTTCAGGTCACAGCTATGTGCGAGTGACATGCCAGCAGACACAGAAGCAGTGTAGACAGCTGGATTAATTAGTATTGCAATTTATTCTTTTACCTGATGCGTGGCTCGATAACATTACTGAGTTCAGCAAATACAGAACTGTAGTTCTAATTAACGATCGATCAGCTTTATTCTGGCTGATACCAATCCTGTGAAAAATGCCCGGATGTGCATCGATACCTAGTATGGCATTGGGACATCTCTACTGCCCAGACGTATGTGGCCACCCATTTTAATTATTATAACATTTAAAAATATCTGCTCAAGAGGGCTGTGCAATCTGCAGTCGATTAACTAGAGAGTCATTTCCCCTTGCTTTTGATTCTTTTTTTTTTTATTGTTTTAACTATTTAAAATAGATAAGCTCTTATTTCATTGTAAATCTGCATGAGGTGTGGTCATTCACTCACCTGCTCCTTGCCTCACTCGCACTGTCTCTCTTGATCTCTCTCTCTCTCACACTGACAATGGACTGTCTGTGAACAGCTCCTTTGTGTTTTTGTTTATAACAAAACACGGTCAACCGAGATCCAGCTCATTATCTGATGTTATTAGTAAGCTTGGAAGACTAGCTAAGCTAACCTTAGAAAACAGAATACAAGAGAGAGCTGAGGAGAGAGGGGTGTAGTAGAGGAGGAGGACAGCAGCCAACATGCTGCAATGGGAGACATCTAGTACAGCAGCAGCAGGACAGATGAATGGCACAACAACAGCAAGCAAGTGGGCACTATAATACTACTGTATTTAATAACTTCAAAAAGACTTTATTGGTGCACAGATGGTTATTTTGACTAGCAAACTGTTTTTTTTGCTCTGTATTCTAAGAGCCAGCTCATTTCTAATAGGCTGTTGCTTTTTCTGGCCTGAATGTGTGCAGCAGTTGAACACATACTTATTGTGGAGTACAAATGAAAATTGTATTTATCTAAGAAATGAGAGACATTGGGGAAATCTGAGGAATTTTAGTTAGCTGTTAGTCATCAGGGCAGATTCAGATTTTTAGGCCATGGATGGAACCACTCCCAGATTTGTTGCCAGAAACTATAGAAAATCAGAGTGACATGATGGGAACAATGTTGTGTCAGCAATGTGCAGTGTAGACTCAAGGGTTTCTGCTTACTATATTATATGTCAGGTCAGTGCATATTCATAAGCAAAAAAAAAAAAAAAAACCATTGTCCCCCTGAACTCTTCTTCTGTTGCAGTCTATGAAGGATGACCCACATTTCCACCACTTCCTACTCAGCCAGTCTGAGAAGGTAGGACGAAGCATGCTTCTCAACTTTTTGACATCTGCACCTGTTTGTTTTTTGTTTTTGCTTTTTTTGTTTGTTTGTTTTTTGGGCTCTCTTGGAGGATTGGACTTTTAAGTTGTCTGTTAGTTCTTCAAATGTGATCTCATTTGATAGCCAACTCATGTAGCCTTGTTTTTCTCTGAATGTGTTAGCTTGACTCTGATTTGATCAGTAGAGATAGGATGTTAATGTAGCCCCTTGTGTTACCTTTATGTTTTTTTATTCCCCATTATAGAAACATACCGAAATGTGGCGAGCCATGTAATGCTCATTCCAGGTTTCATGTTTATTTCCACTGCTCTCCACCTGCTTTGGAAGTGCATTCAGGGATGTACATTTTGGCTCCCCTCAGGATGTGGCACTAAAATCAGGTTCCAGGTTCTTGCAGGGGGAAGTGGTTAGTGCTGACAAAGGTGCAGTGTTTCCCATGCATTGATTTATTTGGCACTAGCCACCATAATAGCAACATTGACCGCCACATATTGATTTGAAATAGGTTGACTCTTACTTCAGTGTACTGCTGTGCGTAGCGCATTTTATTTGCTTAGTTCCTCCGTACCCCACTCTATTTCTCTCACACACAAACACATAACAACCATGCTGGATCGTCTGTGAACACCTCCTCCTCTCCGTGCTTGTTTGTTTTGTTTTTTTTTTACACAACGCCATCAATTGCAGAGATCCAACTCTTCTGTGTTATTAGCAAGCTAGTAAGGCTAGCTAAGCCAATGTTAAAATACAGCTCCATATGCTGTATGGGTATACACTGTGTGCACAATTATTAGGCAAGTGAGTATTTTGACCATATCATTTTTATTCATTTTTCCAACACCAAGCTGTATAAAGTTGAATACTTATTGGATGTAAACATATCAGGTGATGTGTATTTGTGTAATGAGGGAGGGTGTGGTCTAAGGAGATCAACACCTACTGTATATCAAGGTGTGCATAATTATTAGGCAGCTTCTTTTCCTCAAGCAAAATGGGCCAAAAAAAGAGACTTAACTGACTGAAAAGTCAAAAATTGTAAGAAGTCTTTAAGAAGGGTGCAGCACTCTTGAAATTGCTAAGATACTGGGGCGTGATCACGGAACCATCAAACGTTTTGTTGCAAATAGTCAACAGGGTCGCAAGAAACAAGAAACATGTTGAGAAAAAAAAGACACAAATGAACTGATCAAGATTTGAAAAGAATCAAACATGAAGCTACCAGGAACCCATTATCCTCCAGTGCTGTCGTATTCCAGAACTGTAACCTACCCGGAGTGCCCAGAAGTACAAGGTGTTCCATGCTCAGAGACATGGCCAAGGTAAGGAAGGCTGAAACCTGACCACCACTGAACAAAACATATAAGTTGAAACATCAAGACTGGGCCAAGAAATATCTGAAGACAGATTTTCAAAGGTTTTATGGACTGATGAGATGAGAGTGACTCTTGGTGGACCAGATGGATGGGCCTGTGGCTGGATCAGTAACAAGCACAGAGCTCCACTTTGAATCAGACGACAGCAAGGTCGAGGCAGGGTACTGGTATGGCTGGTATTAAAGATGAGCTAGTTGGACCTTTTCGGGTTGAAGATGGACTCAAAATCAACTCTCAAACCTACTGCCAGTTTTTAGAAGACACTTTCTTCAAGCAGTGGTACAGGGAAAAAGTGCATCTTTCAAGAAGACCATGATAGTTTTGCAAGAAATCAAGAAACTGACATGAATGGAAGGCTTATGACTATTATTGAAAGCAATGGTGGCTATATTGGTCACTGAATTTTATTTTTTTTTTATGTCAAATGTTAATTTGTAAATTTTGAGTTTATTATTCTCACTTTAACAGATGAAAAACAAGTGAGATGGGAAAATTTTTGTTTTTCATTTAGTTGTATAATAATTCTGCACACCAACGGTTGCCCAATAATTGTGCGCACAGACATTCTCCTTAGAAAGCCAAAACCTCACTTTTACTTTTAATAAATATTGAGGTTTGAGGTTTATTTACATTTTGGATTGACTGAGAGCACTGTAGTTTTTGAATAATAAAATTAATCCTCAAAAATGCCATAATTGCCTAATAATTGTGCACACAGTGTATATGGGCTGCTCTTCAAAAGTTAAACTCTCATGCTGAATGTTTGCCCCCTTGGTCCAGGGGAATATCAGAAAACACACATGGGAAAACTGATTAGTCCGACCAGTGTCTTTAACAGTCCATTTGATTCCTTTCTATTATTTACTAGCTTCAACCAGTGCTGCTGAAGCCGCAAGCAGGGACGGTCAGGAAGAGAGAAATGTCAGAGAGGAGATAGGTCAGATGAACAGGACAACAGCACTTCATGGAAAACTTTTTGGGCACCTAGCAACTGGTGCCTAACATTACTGATTTGTGTGTGTGCGCCCCCAACCCCTGTGGCAAGCGTGGCGCATACCACATCCTATCTGAAAGCCATTTTTGTCTGTGTGAGATGGGGAGGGACGGATGCTCACAGAGACACATGGCAGAGCAGAGAATGAGACCCAATGACCAGCTCAGCCAGAATGAGGATAATGTAATTCTGCCATTAAGTGGTATCAGTGCATAGTATCGGACAACCTTTGTGAGTAGGAGTACAAGTACTAGAGGGTGGTATTGGACCTGATACGTGATACTGGTGTCAATATCGATGCATCCCTAATGGACACATCAGCTTTTGTGGTTATGTTGGGTAATGGTTACAGGAAGCACAGGGTATACCTTTGTTAGGTTCCAACAGTGGAAACGCAGTAGCTACACTCTGATTCCCCTGATCCCTTTGCATTACAGTGTGTTGTTCTTGTGGAGTATATTGGTCACCACTTGTCTGATTTTCCTATCTACCCATAGCCAGCCTCATCAATGGAACCCATCAGCAAGCGCTTGAAGATTATTGAAGAGGTAAACTAATGAATTTTAGTAAAAGTAACCCAAATTATCAAACTATTATGGATTTACTTTGATATAACTATATATTTTAACTCATATGAATTGATTTGCTTTACATTTTAGTGTGTTAATAAATTATGTAATGATATGAGTATGATATAAATATATATAATGCTGATTTTGATTGTGCAGGACACAGGTTCAACATCGATCCAAGCAGCAGACAGCACAGCCATTAATGGCAGTATCATACCCACAGATAAAAGGTATTGACACGTCCTCACAAAGCATCACTGAACACCATTATCAAAATTACTCAGTATATTTAGTTGGTAAACAGACCACAAGGGCTAATGTCTAGTTTCTGGTTTTAGTTATTTTGTAGGCACATAATCATTTTAAGTAATTCATCTGGGTTTATCTTAAAGCCATTATCACACATGAACTCCAGAATATGTCTGCAGAATTAGTACACGCAGGAGGTGGGACATGACACGATCACGTAGCCGGTTTGTGATTTGGCCCTAAACAGCCAATCTCTTGCCATTCCTTAAGTTGTCTGACGATTCTGGCACCGGCTCTAAACAGAAGTTTCTGAATCTTGTTGTGTCTCCAATAAGATGTTTTTGTTGGTGTCTTCATTGTAAATGGCCATTTTTCTTCACCATTGGATGTTTGTATGCTTCTGTTTTGTGCCGGTTATATGATAGTCATTGATAGCGTCATTAACATGCCCACTAGCTTCATATGAATACTCTGGACTATACGCTGCTACCTTCTCACATGGGCTCACTCCGGCTCACTAGGACGTTATGTCGACTTTGTACTAGGGAGCTGGCCGGGTAGAATCTGCTTAAGGTCTGGGTCGACTGACTTGGACATTTGCTTTCTCACATCCAGCTCCCCTAGAGTCTAGAGAATTTCAGGGTTCCAGTGCATGTCTGAAAGGGGCTCTAGATTAAACAAAAAAAAATATGAATGCAAATTTGTTTGTTTATTTGTTTGCTAATGTTGTGATTTGTTTGTTCTTGGACTTTGCCCTACAGGATAGGGTTCCTGGGTCTGGGGCTGATGGGTAGTGGTATAGTTTCCAACCTACTGAAAATGGGTCACGTTGTCACAGTGTGGAATCGCACAGCAGAAAAGGTAAGACATGCAACACAATTACTGTCACACGGGAAACTACACTACAGATCACTGATACTGTTGCTGATTAGTCTCATTACTGTCAGTGATATTTTGCAAGCTTAAAAGGCATTTCAGCATTGCAAATGTTTTTGTGAGTAACAGAATGGAAACCTAAGTTGAGGGTAACATTTAATAAAGACATGAATATTTTGTGAAACTATAGAATAATCATGTAGACATCTTGAAGAGTGCGTTAGCATGCTACTATTGACTTCTCTCTGCTGTGTTTCAGTGTGACCTGTTCATCCAGGAGGGTGCCAGGTTAGGCCGGACTCCAGCAGAGGTGGCTTCCATGTGTGACATCACTTTCTCCTGTGTCTCTGACCCAAAGGCTGCCAGAGATGTGAGTACCATCTCAACTTAAGTACAGTGCCTTGCAAAAGTATTCATACCCCTTGAATTTTTCCACATTTTATCACATTACAACCACAAACTTCAATGTATTTTATTGGGATTTTATGTGATAGACCAACACAAAGTATTGCATAATTGTGAAGTGGAAGGAAAATGATACATGGTGTTCAAGATTTTTTACAAATAAAAGTCTGAAAAGTGTGGCGTGCATATGTATTCAGCCCCCTTTTTTCCAATATCCCTAAATAAAATCCAGTGCAATCACCTATTTAGTAAATAGAGTCCACCTGTTGTACGTCAATCTCAGTATAAACACAGCTGTTCTGTGATGGCCTCAGAGGTTTGTTACAGAACATTAGTGAACAAACAGCATCATGAAGACTAAGGAACACACCAGACAGATCAGGGATAACGTTGTGGAGGAGTTTAAAGCAGGGTTAGGTTATAAAAACATATCCCAAGCTTTGAACATCTCACGGAGCACTGTTCAATCCATCATCCAAAAATGGAAAGCACAACTGCAAACCTACCAAGACATGGCTGTCCACCTAAACTGGTCGGACAAGGAGAGCATTAATCAGAGGAGTAACCAAGAGGCCCATGGTAACTCTGGAGGAGCTGCAGAGATCCACAGCTCAGGTGGGACAATCTGTCCACAGGACAACTATTAGTCATGCACTCCACAAATCTTGAACAGCATGTATCATTTTTCTTCCACTTCACAATTATGCGATACTTTGTGTTGGTCTATGACATAAAACCCCATTAAAATACATTTAAGTTTGTGGTTGTAATGTGACAAAATGTGGAAAAATTCAAGGGGCATGAAAACGTTTGTAAGGCACTGTATATGGCTTCCTATTAAGGTGTTAATGGTTGGCTTGTGGATTAAAAACTTCTCACTGTCTTTGTGTTGGTTGCTGTCCAGTTGGTGTTAGGACCCAGTGGAGTGCTGCAGGGAATCCGGCCGGGCAAATGCTATATAGAGATGTCCACTGTAGACCCAGAGACCATCACAGAACTCTCACAGGTATACACTAACACAGTAGGGTTGCAGTGGTATGAGATTTTCACGGTATGATGACCGTCTCATAAAAGATCACGGATGGACTGCAGAGCTACTATGACTGCAGACCCTAAAGAATAAGCAGAGTTATAATATAACTAAAGCATATTAGTTTGCATGTTAGCATCAGTAGTGCTATTCACATCCTTTACTTATGTAAAAGTAGTAATATTACACTGTAAAAGTAGCCTGTTCTGTTACAAAAAAGTCTTGCATTAATATTAACACAAAAATTTACTTAAATTATTAAAACTATTAGTAGGCTACTCAATGCAGAAAAATTATACAGTATATTTTATTACATTAACAGTCTATCACTCTTGCACTAATGTAAAATCAGGATTTGACTGTTTTAGTTGGTTGAGATGGAGCTCTGCTAAACTATTTTGTGTGCAAGTGCAGCTATTGATTATTTTCATTACGGATTAACCTGCTGATTATTTTCTCCATTAATCAACTGACTGGTTTTGTAAAACCTCTGACAACAGTGAGACACACTGTCACAATGCTCTAAACGATTATCAAAATAATTAATAATAATCATTTATGTGAGCCAGGTGTGTTTATGTGGTGTGTTTCTGGGGGCAGATCGGGGGAGATTAGTGAACAAACGACGTGGAAAATAATTTCAATATCACATTTTATAACTACCGTTTATCGTTTGGGATTAAAGAAACAAACGGAACATACTTGAATCTGTAAGGAGGGACGCTGATCTTGAAGGTGTTCATTTTTGAGATAATTTCTTTTTTGGTGGAGGGAGTTTGGTGATATCAGCCTCCTCCTCCCTGCCATATGTCCGCTGCACGTGTGCGTGTGGCACCTGTTGTGGAGCCTGACAGGCTGTTGGGGAAGAAAGAAGCACATGCATTGCGGTTTGTTTGTTTTTTTTCTTCAATACCGGTAATAAGCAAATGTGCATGGTATGATAACTGTTCATTTTCATACCATGGTATACTCTAAAACCGGTATACCACTGCAACCATATAACACACACACCAAAGTACTCTCAATCATTGAAAAATCTAAATGTCAAGAAATAGTGGATTTTCATATAATCCCACACAAAATGAATGTGGCTTTTCTTGTATGCTTGAAATACTGTATTTAGTGTAAAAACAGTTATTGTCATTGGAGTGGTGTAAGTTTTATTGTATTCAGTTGTTTCTTGTTTGAATGTCAGGTGATCACGTCACGGGGTGGCCGTTTTCTGGAGGCTCCGGTGGCAGGAAGCCAGCAACTCTCCAACGATGGGATGCTGGTCATCTTGGCAGCTGGTGACAGAACAGTCTATGAGGACTGCAGTAGCTGCTTCCAGGCCATGGGCAAGACCTCCTTCTTCCTTGGTATGTAGGGTGTAATTGTGTATAGTCAACCCATGCTACAGTATATTTATGAAAGGGGCTTTTGGATACAGTCAAAATGGTTATAATTGGGGTTAAATTGGGCTGGAGCTGACCTCCGCCTCATTTTTGTGCTAAATTTACACACACAATTATTTCAGTGGGGAAACAGGTGTGCATTTCTGCTTTTGTTTGTATAAAAGCGCATGTATGTGTTTTAAGGTGAAGCAGGGAATGCAGCAAGGATGATGCTGATCCTCAACATGGTGCAGGGTAGTTTCATGGCCACCATTGCAGAGGGGCTAACTCTGGCACAGGCCACTGGCCAATCACAGCAGACCTTCCTGGACATCCTGTGCCAGGGCCAGATGGCAAGCACCTTTGTTGACCAGAAATGTCAAAGTAAGTCAAAGGAACTTTTAAGTCATTAATTTATTGACTTAGTGGACCTTGCTTACTGGTTGTCTTCTGTTTATTTTATTCTTCTTTCCGTTTTATATGGTAAAGTTTGTTGTGAACACACAAAAATATTATAACCTGTCTTCCTTTCTTTTTTCCTTCCTTCCAGATATTTTACAGGGCAACTTTAAACCAGACTACTATTTGAAACATATTCAGAAGGACCTAAGGTTAGCCATTTCCATGGGCGACATGGCCAACCATCCAACACCAATGGCTGCAGCTGCAAATGAGGTACAAATTTATGAATTTATTTATTTTATGTTTTGTAAAACCAATCGAACGAACCAATCATTTAATCAAGCGCCTCAGTGACTCACCTGTAAAGTCTGTAAAACAACACAGCATTTCTACATATATGGGCGAGTCACATGGGACGCGTTTTTGGACATCTTTTTCATGCAACAGATGGAACTCCATTCTATGAAATGTCTCCATGATGCACATCACATGATTTTTGCTTCATGTCTGTTTTCTCTGGTGCAGTGAGTGCATGGTAATCTCCACAGACTGTTGTTTATATCGGCCACATGGATTAAAGAGAGACAGATGAGGAGAGAGAAGAACCACTGTTTGAAATTACAGTAAATGAGAATGCAACAAAACTTACAGATCAAGCAGAAGTAACTGAAAATCCCTGATTAGTTAGAGAAGTCAGTCCTGCTCAAAACCTTTTAGAAGCTAATATCTCTGCACTGGCACCAATACTGTTCAGTGATCTAGGTCACAGGAGGCTTTGACAGTCACCTCTACACATTAAGACAAGTTTTGGAGCAGATTTCTACAACACAGATAGTTCATACCATATCTTTAAGCAAACTACTGGCTGGGATCCCAAGTTCTACATTAATTTTTACATTTTATTTTGTAAGCGATTGTGTATTCTGGCAGTATGCAGAATATGCCTTATGTAAACTGAAACATTTCCATCAACTAATATAATTATCAGAGCTGAACCAGTATCTCCTCCTTTCTACTAATCTATAAATAAATGCTAATATAACCTTGTTTTTTCTGTTTCTGTGCAGGTTTACAAGAGGGCGAAGGCACTGGACCAGTCTGACAATGATATCTCTGCAGTCTACAGAGCCTACATCCACTAGCGTGATGTGTGGCGTTACCTGTCCGCTGGACCACGCAGTCTTTAATCCTTCATTTCTCCGTCATCATTTTATGAGTTTTTAAATTTAAATTATAGTTGTTTTATTTCATTTTGCCCCAATGACCCATGTTACCTGCCTACAAGACATGAGACATGAGATGTAATTCCTTTTTTTTTTTTTTTTTTTAAACAACCTGGAGTATACGCTGACTATACTGGGGAATTGAACGCTACAAAAATTGTTTAAACAAAGTTGTACTACTGCATTTTGCTATTCGGGCAGTTTGTCTTGTTTCTGACAACTTAAAAACAATGGTAGTCATAATGCAGGATGTAGGCAAAGATGTGAGGTCCAGTGAATTTGTTGTCAGGTTTTGTGAATACAGAAACCTTTCTTTTTTTTTTTTTATGATGATGATGATGATGACTTTATTTAATTGTGATATTTTTCTTTTAAATGTCCAGAATTCCGCAAGAGAAGATACAAGAAAATGCCACAGCATTGCCTTAATGTTGTAACCCCTCAAGTCTTTCAATAATAGATACATTTCTTTCTGGGTCTTCTTGGTGCTGTTTGGTCATGGCTTGATTGTGTATTTAATGTAATGATTTATGCGTTTGCGTTGGTGTTAATGATCTTTTTTGAACAGATCACTGACAATGCAACTGAAGTAGTGAGGCCTTAAAATGGAGTAATAATCAATATGCTTCATCAACGCTTGAAATTTCCATATTTGAGCCCCTTCATTCTTTGTTTCAAATAGTTCTATTTTCAGCTGTGCTTTTCGTATGTTATAAAGGGAATTGTATTGCCCTCAAACTAGGTGAATCCACTTTTCAGCTCTGTTTTAACTGAAGGTTATATATAGGTTCATATTTTTTTCCTCTGGTCATTATTTTGACAGTTGTCTGTTTTGAAAACAAATTTTAGACCCCCACATGGAGCATATACATAATTAAAAACCAAACTAAACAGTTTTATGTGGGATAGTGGCAAGAAGGATGTATTAATTTAAGCCTAAACATTGACACTTAAAGCTGTAGAATAAATACACCCTCAGCTCCACAGTCAGTAGCTACTGTTAGTTGGAACATTATTGACAAATTTCAATATCAGTCTGTTACACTCATTTCAGCTAAACTGTTCATTACATTTCCATATTTACCTGATCAGGGCCTCAAAGCAACTGTATATATGTATGTGTGTAAATATTTCTTTCTTTCATTGCCCTCAAAATATCTTGGGGGAAACTAAAGAGTAAGGACAGCAGGTCATCACATGACAGGAGGGTTGAGCTTGACTTAATAGTAGAGGTCCTCACAAGTCCTCTCAGTTCTTAGTACTGGTTCAGGGCAGGAACATGACCAGTGAATTGGCCAACTAATATTATCAATACTAAAGATATGTTTGAGGTCATTTAGAAACTGTGTCTCCAGAGCACTCTCGCAAGTTTATTTTTACATTGTGAAATATCCCTCTAAGTATGTGTCTTAGTCATAATGCTTCATTAAACCCATTTGAAGTATTATCAAAATTATGCAAGTTGTTAAAAGGTGTATAGTAGCGGAATATATTTTAATCACATAACTTTCAAATGTTTATGCTGGGTCTTATCTGACTCTTCTTGTTTCTACTCAGTCCCAAATTATTTAGTCAGATGAGGTAAAAGTATGTCCACTTCTCAGATCTGTGTGCAAGCGCGTCTGGCACTTAAGTGGTTCTAAGCCAAATGTCAGTATTGATATATGATTAGTGTTTTGCGATAGATGTAAACATACAGGAGAAGTGGATTATATTAATTTGTGTTTATTCTAGAATTACAGCATTCTGGATCAGGTCCAAGTATCCTTGAGGCTACCAAAGAGAGGTTTTCTTTTTTTAAGTCACCAGATTTTCTCTTGGTTCTGTTTTAATTAATGCACATAATTTTTCTATATGCCTTGTGTTTTGTTTTGTTTTGTTTTTTTTTTTATACGCACCAGTCTTCTTTGGGTCTTGTTTTGGATCCCAGATTTTTAACTCTTGAAGACTACTAAATGGCCTAAAACATACTCTACATTAAGCATGCAGATGCAAATGACTGTGCCCACCATATGCAAAAGTTCTTACATAACCAGATACTCAAACTCAGTTTGTCAGACTTAACAGCTTTTCGTTGGTGCTTGGTAGAGCTTGCATCAATCCACATGTAAAAACCACAGATCTATCAATGCGTAAAATCATAGCTTTAGGTGTCTGTGTTTAGCATATTTATTTGTGAAGATTGAGTTTTGGGTTTTATGCATTGTTGATTTGGCATCCATTTTGTATCAGCTCCATGGTGGGAAATGAAAGGATGTGGTTATAATTCTTGGGCTCTAAACTGTCTCAAATGGAAGCAAGTGCAAAAATGGGTCCATCAGGATGAAAATTTATTATTATTATTGCAAAACAAAAGAGAAGATGCCTTCTCCGAAGGAGCACATCAATACTTAACCCTACTGAAACCATTTTTGATGCGACTGAGTTATTTAAACACAAGCACGTTGTAGTAACAGACCCAGTTATTCTTTCACTACAACTCAAGTATGGCATGAAGAAACAGAAAGCAGAACTTGCAGGAATGTGCGCACCACCAGAAGACCAAAATTGTAATTACTTTCTTGCAGATAAAGGCCTAATGTTCTTTAACTCTTTCTGTTAGTTGAAACTATAAATTGAGTTTCTCATAAAACAAAATCACTTTGTTGCATGGTTTTAATTTAGGCTACATGCTCAAGTGTAAAGAACTGTTTATAGGCAGATGTTGAGTAGGAATTCTTTTATATATATATATATATATATACACACACAATAACCAGGATTAATTAAGAACTGCTTTTGGTTTTGACTCAGCGCAGTGACTGTCTAATATGTGTCTTAATAGTGTAGATTGTTGAAGTGTAAATGGTTTAGACCTATTAATATGTGGCTTATGTGGTTTATCACCTTAAATTGACAATGATTTGGATCTTGGAGACTATAACTTTTGTTTTGGGGATATTTATGATTTTATGTATGGGTGGAAATTTCAAGACTTTTGTGCTGTTAATAAATTCAATCCTGATTACTGATATTTATACATGATTGATGACTGATTAAGTTATAACTAGTTTGTTTGATAGGATCTAATTTTTGCCACTCAGTGTATCAAAACAAGTACTTACAGTGCCTTGCGAAAGTATTCGGCCCCCTTGAACTTTGTGACCTTTTGCCACATTTCAGGCTTCAAACATAAAGATATAAAACTGTAATTTTTTGTGAAGAATCAACCACAAGTGGGACACAATCATGAAGTGGAACGAAATTGATTGGATATTTCAAACTTTTTTAACAAATAAAAAACTGAAAAATTGGGCGTGCAAAATTATTCAGCCCCTTTACTTTCAGTGCAGCAAACTCTCTCCAGAAGTTCAGTGAGGATCTCTGAATGATCCAATGTTGACCTAAATGACTAATGATGATAAATAGAATCCACCTGTGTGGAATCAAGTCTCCATATAAATGCACCTGCACTGTGATAGTCTCAGAGGTCCGTTTAAAGCACAGAGAGCATCATGAAGAACAAGGAACACACCAGGCAGGTCCGAGATACTGTTGTAGAGAAGTTTAAAGCCGGATTTGGATACAAAAAGATTTCCCAAGCTTTAAACATCCCAAGGAGCACTGTGCAAGCAATAATGTTGAAATGGAAGGAGTATCAGACCACTGCAAATCTACCAAGACCTGGCCGTCCCCCTAAACTTTCAGCTCATACAAGGAGAAGACTGATCAGAGATGCAGCCAAGAGGCCCATGATCACTCTGGATGAACTGCAGAGATCTACAGCGGAGGTGGGAGACTCTGTCCATAGGACAACAATCAGTCGTATACTGCACAAATCTGCCTTTATGGAAGAGTGGCAAGAAGAAAGCCATTTCTTAAAGATATCCATAAAAAAGTGTCGTTTAAAGTTTGCCACAAGCCACCTGGGAGACACACCAAACATGTGGAAGAAGGTGCTCTGGTCAGATGAAACCAAAATCAAACTTTTTGGCAACAATGCAAAACGTTATGTTTGGCGTAAAAGCAACACAGCTCATCACCCTGAACACACCATCCCCACTGTCAAACATGGTGGTGGCAGCATCATGGTTTGGGCCTGCTTTTCTTCAGCAGGGACAGGGAAGATGGTTAAAATTGATGGGAAGATGGATGGAGCCAAATACAGGACCATTCTGGAAGGAAACCTGATGGAGTCTGCAAAAGACCTGAGACTGGGACGGAGATTTGTCTTCCAACAAGACAATGATCCAAAACATAAAGCAAAATCTACAATGGAATGGTTCACAAATAAACATATCCAGGTGTTAGAATGGCCAAGTCAAAGTCCAGACCTGAATCCAATCGAGAATCTGTGGAAAGAACTGAAAACTGCTGTTCACAAACGCTCTCTATCCAACCTCACTGAGCTCGAGCTGTTTTGCAAGGAGGAATGGGCAAAAATTTCCGTCTCTCGATGTGCAAAACTGATAGAGACATACCCCAAGTGACTTACAGCTGTAATCGCAGCAAAAGGTGGCGCTACAAAGTATTAACTTAAGGGGGCTGAATAATTTTGCACGCCCAATTTTTCAGTTTTTTTATTTGTTAAAAAAGTTTGACATATCCAATAAATTTCGTTCCACTTCATGATTGTGTCCCACTTGTTGTTGATTCTTCACAAAAAATTACAGTTTTATATCTTTATGTTTGAAGCCTGAAATGTGGCAAAAGGTCGCAAAGTTCAAGGGGGCCGAATACTTTCGCAAGGCACTGTAGCTTCGGTACTTTGACTTCCCCATGATTCTGTTTTTGAGGGTTTTTGAGTGTGAACTGGCTTTTTAAAGGTCCTACCACAGCATCTCAATGGAGTTTAAGTCAGGATGCCTACTCGGCCACTCCAAAGTTTTAATTTTGTTATATTAACCGACAGGTCGGTAGTAAGCCAGCTAGCTATACAGCACCGTTTCTCTACCTGCTTGCAGAGCAGAGGCAGAATTGCTTGCCAACAGCTCTGTCCACTTGACTGGCAATGGACATCTTGGGCAGCTCAGCCTGCAGATCTCTGCCACCAAGAAACCTTCAGCCAGATACATCCCACGAAAAGAGAGAGGTCTGATTGACCCTGGATGTCTGTCAAATGCCAGTGCTGCTGTAGGAATCCATAGGGACCTAATGCACTTTATCCTGACCCCTGCAGGAGTGGTGCCGGGTTGAGATGTGGTCAACTGCATGCATGAGATCTCAATGCAAGCTCTTTGCTTGGTCTACAGTCTGCTAGCTCCTCCTGTTTTCACACAGATCTTGTGCATGTGCAGTTGAATCTTGCTACTTCAGACGCTGTATAAAGTTATGGTTGTTTGGAGCTTTTGGGGCAACATTTTTAACAAATATGTCAGTCTGGAGTTTCATAATGAAGAAATATGTCACCCAGTGCAGCAGTCTGTTTCACTGATGTGTTTCTAATCTGTTCTGAACAACAGCGGAGGTTTAAGACACAGACAAAAACTAATCCAGGGTGGCGACTGACATTAACCGTGAGTAGATGAGAAATGAGAGCTTTGGGATGTCCAAGGTGGCAGCGTGCAGATATGCAGCGGCTTGTAGCTCTTACACTCTTTTTCTTTTATTTTATTTTTTTTGTATTGCTCATTGTTATTAAAAGTAGTACCCCCAGTTTAGTTGTATTTATGTACAGTGTCAATAAAGCATCCAATTCAAGATGGATGGTTGGATAGCAAGGATTGAGGAATAATAAAATAAGGGAATTAGGATTTTCCCCATAGGGCCTAGTCCTAAAAATTACTATCCCTGTAGTTATTAAATGAAAATGTACCATTATCTCTATAATCTCCTCCCTTGCTTTGGATCAAACCTTTCAGTGAAGAACTGCCTCTAGCTGTGTTTTGCAGTTTATTTTGTATTTTCTTCAATATTGTTTCATTTGGGATTCTGAAATCCACTGCCAATCTCCATCTTTACAATTGCAATGTGACCCAAGATAAAGGGTTGTCAAAGCATTTTGAGAAAAAGCTCTGTTAAAGCTTTTACTACAAATAAAGGCAAGGCAGCTTTATTTATGTAGCACATTTCATACACAGTCATTTAAAAGTGTTTTACACAGGCAAAGAAAAACAGTAACGGAGTTAAAAAACTAAGCATTAAAAACCTGAATAAAATCAGTTAAGACAAAGTGAAAATAAAACATTGCTAAACCAAAATAAAATTGAAAGAAAAAAGAAAATGGTATTAAACAGTTATCTAGCAGTTACAGTACAGAAGGTGCAGCATAGAAACCAGTTAAACAAAGGCTCAGGAAAACAGCTGGGTTTTTAGTTGAGACTTGAAAGTGGCAGAGCTGGGGCACATTTAAAGTCATCAGGAAGTTGGTTCCATCTGTGTGCAGCATAGTAGCTAAAAGCAGCTTCACCCTGTTTGGTTCTGAGCTGAGGTTCTACCAGCTGGTTGCTTCATAAGGATCTTGAAGCCCTGCGGGGTCTGTTTTCTTCAAGCAGATCAGAAATGTTTTTTGTCCCCATACCACTGAATGATATACTATAAACTAACAGAAGGACTTTAACATCGATTCTGTAGGTAACTGTAGCCAGTGTAAGGATTTAAGAACAGGAGTGATGTTCTCAGTTCTCCTGGTTCCTGTTCAAGCTCTGGCAGCAGCGTCTGAGTGAGCTGAAGTTGTCTTGAGTCTTTTTGAGAAGGCCAGGCAAAAGACTGTTACAATAGTCCAGCCTCTTGGAGATGAAGGCATGAATACATTTCTCTAAATCTTATCTGGACATGAGACCTCTGAGTCTTGCTAATGTTTGAGATGATATCTTGTATCTTATGGACCTCGTGGTGCCATATTGTCCCAACAGAGCACTTTGCTCTCAGAGTGCAGGTCTGCTTGTGGTTCCTAGAGTTTACAGAAGTAGAATGGGAGGCAGAGCCTTTAGCTATCAAGCTCCTCTCCTGTGGAACCAACTCCCAGTCTCAGTCTGGGAGGCAGACACCCTCTCTACCTTTAAGACTAGACTTAAGACTTTCCTTTTTGATAAAGCTTATAGTTAGGGCTGGATCAGGTGACCCCGAGCCTTCCCTTAGCTATGCTGCTACAGACTTAGGATGCTGGGGGTCTTCCCAGGATGCTCTGCTCCTCTCCTTTCCTCACTGTCCATGCATTTATATGCCCGTTGGTTATCTCCTCTCTCACATAGTGTGTTCTCTCTCTCTCTCTCTCTCTCTCTCTCTCTCTCTCTCCCTGTACACTTCTGCAGGTAGCCCTGGTTCTGGAGCTATCTGTTTCTGATGGTATCTGTTTCTGATGAGTAGTCACCAGCCACATCAACCTTCCAAGCATTTGATTGTTTGTTACTAATTGTAAATTTTTGGACTACGTACCCATTCAGTCGGTGTTTCCATAAGAAGCTGTTGCTCATTTGGCGAGAAATAGCCTATGCTGCACGAGTCTTACCCATTTTTGCATCAGTAATTCTGTGATCAATCCCACGGTCTGTTTGCTATTTACATACCGTATTCCACTTTAGTTTTACCCAGCCTCTTTGGGCGTATTTTTAATAAGGCTTTCAGGAAGAATTAGCTAAACCTTAGGTAAAAACACTCAATAGAGGATTGCACAAGCTCTCACTCTAGAAGGGCCCCAGTCCCTTTTATTACTTAAGCCACTATTTTCTCGTCCTCTGTTGGGAGAATGTTTCCTCTTAGGATGCTGATATTTTCTAGCAGTCCTTCGGGAAATTTATATTTATCACTCCAAAACACGCCCGCATCTCATTGATGACGTTCCCCGGAAACCTGTCTATATATAGACTAGTGGGTGGGTCTACTTTAATAGTGAACACCACATAGCCTAATGTGGCGTTCATGTGGTGCTCGTAAAGACCAAAATGCGGCCCTAGTGGTTTTGCAGCACATAATCAATAAATACACAAATCAGCATAAACATTTTTGATATTTAAAGGCGGCTTTGTGCCCATATGGCAGAATGAAAACAAGAAATTGAACTTAGAGCATAATCAGCGCTTTAAAATAAAATGATAAATCATTTATACCTATTTATATATTATATTACCATTTGTTTTTGTGCTTGCTGACCCTTACGTTTTAAAGTCAGCAGCTCGCCCTCTGATATAAAAGCTCTTTTTTTAAATTTGTGTTTGCGGCTGACTTTAGTCTTCCATGTGGTTTCTCGAATTTCCGATAGCACGTGAAGGCAAAAGATCCTCGGATAAGCTACCATTAGTTCACGACGTTAGTGAAACGCCTGTTTCCTAAGAGGACAGAGTACTGAAAGGTGTTACTCAAGCGTTTTTTGTGTTTACTGCACAAAATGCTCAACCCGCAGAGATCTCTTTCTGAGCTGCCCAAGATGTCCTCAGCAAGTCAAGTGGAAAGAGCTGTACTGGTAAGCTGTTTTGTAGCACCGCGAACCGGCAGAGAAACAGTACCGTTACTGTTTGGATGTGTTATGGCCAGCTGGCTTAATATAACATGGTCTGTGTTGTTATAAAACGTAGCTGCGTGATTTTTTTTCCGTTTGCCGAAGGGGACAGTAGCATCCTCGCGCCACAGTGCAGGTATTGTAGCCATTGCTCGCGCAGATAAACTGAACGTAGCGGCCGAGAAAATGATCATGTAACATGATATGTGACTCAAAAGGAGACATAATTTATAGTAACTGGGTTGCTTTATCAGAACTAGGACTTCAGCTTTTATTTTTATTATTGATTAATTTGTTTATTTTCTAGATAGTTATAGGGCTGGATCCTATTATTCGACTATTCGTTCTTTGGGTAGGTAGGAGAGAGCTGGGCCGAAGGTACCACTTTTTATTTTTATCCTGATTGTGTGAGACGAAATGTATCTTTTCTGATCATATTTCATTTGAGGACACTTATATATGTCCTCTACCACTATCCACAGACATTTTTGTGAACAAATGTACCACCCCGAAGTAATTTTGCTTTAAATACAAGTAGTGCGACTGTACTTTCGTCTACTCATGGGGTCAAAGGTACAGCGCAAAACCGTAAAGTAAACATATACTGCTGTTATCCAGATGTGTGTAAGGATTGTAAAGATCCTCCATGCTACTCTTCTAATCATATAACCTAGTCTTGGCCAAGCCACACACACTTAATATGATGATCATTTAGGCAAATTATTTCAATGTTTAGGCTAAAAGTATCTAGCTAGCTAATGTTATCTAGTATTGATGCAGTTTAGTAACAGCAATACTTTGTCCATTATGTTACTTAGTAATGTAGTAGCCTATGGATTACACAGCCAAACCCACAAGCAAAGCGTGTTTTGTTGTTGGTGCTCTCACTAAACTCTGCTTTTTAACCTCCTCAGCTAATTCAGAGGACAAGTTTGTTGGTCTTTCATACCTTATGAAGAGAAAGCAGCATCATCTCAGCCAAGAACAGATTAGATTTAATTTCTAGATGCCATAGGGCTGTCCTGAATTGCAGTTTTTGGGCTTCAGAGCTTCAGTAGTAATAATCCCGCAGCTACATGTGTATAGCCCTTTTCAAACATGAGATACATAGCATTGCTGCTTCATCAGTATGTCGATTCGCATGTTGACATTTGGCACGTTTTACGCCGGATGCCCTTCCTGACACAACCCTGACTCGAACCTGGGCCGACGCAGTGAAAGGTCAAGGTCAAGGGTTTACTGTAATATGCACAGTGAGGAAATTTTTCTCTGTACAATGAAATTCTTACTTTGCCGTCCACACGAATGTCACACAATATAAGTGAAATATAACACAGATACATAAGTAACACAAAATCTAAATCTCAAAAAGGGAGAGCTTACTACAAAAATACTCCTCTTAGGGTAGTGTTACCACAATCACTTAACACATCACTGGCCTTCTGTTGGTACTACAACACTTAGTTTGGAAAAATGTGTCTTAAGGGCAAAGCTACTGAATGCTTTTAAAGTATCTCTTTTCTGTATTGGCTTCAGCAGTTGCCGCATTTGGTACGATTAGCGCGGGCATGATTTTACCTTTGTGTTGAACTGATATGATTTTTTTTAAATGTGGAGTAATTCAAGCTTTGTGTAATGTTAGTGCTTTCTTAGTCCCATTCGGGACTGTCCCCTCACTGTCAACCTTGTCACTTGACATTGTTGTGCTACTTTAGAGCCAGGACTCGATAGTCAGTTAAGCTGCATTGTTGGAACTTAACTTATTGACAGGTGACAGTTAAGGGAAGCTTATCCAGCATAACCTCACGGGTTGATGTGGACTGCCCTGCTTTGTTTTTCCACTGTCATTGTCACACACAGTCAGCTGAGCAGAGGACATTAAGGATCACTCCATAGTGTAAAATCAGCCAGTAACATAGACTACAGGTATGTTTATGTAAAATCAAAATTAAAACCGAAAATAGTGATTTGTAAATCATCTGTGTCCTGTATTACATTGAAAACAAAACGACAGCACATTATTTGATGTGAGACTTCATCAGTTTGATTCTTTGTTCAAAATAAACATTCACTTTAATTCTGATACCTGCAACACATTCCAAAAAAAGCTCAAGACACTAAAGCATTTACCACAGTGTGATGTTACCGTTACTTTTCACAACACTTAAAAGACGTTTAGGGACTGAGGTCACTAAGTGATTAAATGTGTCATTTGTAATTTTGTCCCGTTCTTCCTGCAAACAAGTCTTAAAGTGTGCAACAGTCCTGGGTCTTTGTTGATGTAATTTGCATTTCACATTCTCTATTGGGGACAGGTCGGGACTGCAGGCAGACCAGTCCAGCACTCACACCCTGTTCCTACACAGCCACACCTTGGTAATGTGCACTATGAGGTTTTGCATTGTCTTGTTTAAATATGCATGGGTGTCCCTGGAAAAGATGTCATTTTGAAGGCAGCACATGTTGCTCCACAGTCTCTATGCATTTTTCAGCATTAATTGTGTCATCACAGAAGTGTAAATTACCTTTGTCAAGGGCACTGACACAACCCCATACCATGACAGACCCTGGGTTTTGGACTTGTTGCTGGTAACAGTCTGGTTGGTCCTTTTTGTCTTTGGTCTGGAGCACACACTGTCCATTCCTCCCAAAAAAGACCTGAAATATGGATTTGTCTGGCCACACGTCTCCACTGTGTGATGGTCCGTCCCAGATGCCTCCAAGCCCACTGTTGACACAGGGCCTCCTTTTGGCAACCATCTCAACTTTTTTTTAGAATGTATTACAGGGATCAGAATTGAAGTGAGTGTTTTCAGTGTAATACAGAATACAAATGATTTACACATCACTATTTTCAGTTCTAATTTTGATTTTACATACCGTCCCAACCTTTTCTGATTTGGGGTTGTAATAATATTTCTTAACTAATTTCAAGCACTTTTTAGCTAAAACTGTCTTTTGGTGAAATGACATTCATCTAAAGTTTATTATGTAAATGTGATGTTATGTCTTTTATTTTGTTAATCTGTTGATGGTAGGGAGCTCAAATTATGTGAAACTATTTATATCTGGTTATAATCACTGCTAGATCAATAATGTAAAACATATCATAATCATAACCGATTTCAAGTTATTACCTCAGAAAAATACATATATTGAAAACACTGCCACTGTTACTGACTCCCGGTGTTTGGGACTAGACTTAGTGGAGATCTTGTCTCTCTCTCTGTCTTAATCCAATGTGGTTTATACATGGAATCCCTGTTAGCTGACTGTCATACTCTAGTAAAAGAATAATTAAAAATTTAGTGATAAAATGTATGGAGGACGAAAAATGACTTAATTAGAAAGAAATAAATAAATGACTACATTAATGCATAAATAAATACAGAAATAAATAAAAGAACTAGATTTGTAGAAATGTAGACATATAACAATCTAAAAATACATTGAAATAATTTATTTATACATTTATGCATTTATTTATTTATTTATTTATTTTAGCATATAAGTATTTATTTTTTTCTTTTAATTATGCAATTATTTATTGCTTTACTTATTTATTTCTGTATGTATTTATAATGAAATCATTTTTTGTCCTCCATAAAAACCTGCTGTTTCCTGTGGAAAACAGTGAATCTGAATTGCCTGCTTGCAAGCTACAAGAAGTAGTTACAGTTGAACACGGGTCACATGACCTGCTACTGTTTTCAGTCCCTCACTGTTGTAACTCTTCTATCTCAAGGGCTCTGGACCAATAGAAATGTGTGTTGATGAATATGGGTAACATTGAAATGAATGAATCGAAATTTTCAGACATTCAAATTTTGTTTTCAATCGTTTGAATTATATTTATGTTTCAGAGCTGCATTTTTCAGATTCAGATCTCTGATCTATTAAAACAGGGTCAGAAAGAGTAGATTTGAAGCTATGAGAAGAGATTGTTGAATGTCTGCAAAACAAGTTTCAAAACTTTGCAGACATGGATTTGTAACACTGAGAAGAATGAAACAAATTTTCAGGCTTTCAAATGTTTGACCCCTAAGTTTTAAAACCATATTTTACAAATTTTACAAACTTTCTTTTCTACTATTTTGTCAGTTGTACTAATTGTCAATGTTACAAACTGGGTCAATGTTTTCATGTCACAAAAATTCAGTATTGTGACAATACTGCTCTGTAGCTTTAGCATCACTGTTTTTAAACACCTTCACCAGTGAATGTAATCCATCCACACGAAAGGCTCATCAGAGATTTTAGTTTTGTGTTGTTGTTTTTTTGCATTGTCCCATTTTTTGCATTTTTAGTTATCATGTAGTAGTTCAGGTTTCATGTAATTGTTTTTGTAGGCAGAGGAATTCAGTTGGCTGCTTAAAGAAGAAGTGCATTCTGTCCTAAAGCAGCTCCAGGATGTCCTTAAGGTAAAAGTTCAGCTTTCATATATACAGTATCATTCATGTATCTAGGGCTGGATGATGTGGTTAAAATTATTGTCACAATTTTAAAGTGCATATAAAGGTATGCTTTTTCTAATAGCGAGTTCTGCTCAGCCTGAGAAAATAGTTGTCTTTATGGGTCTGGAGGAACAAGTCTGGAAAAAATCATGGTGGCCCTGAAAGCCACACCCACTACAGTTAAGGATAACATCAACACTTTGATCTTAATGCTACACTGGAAAAAACAAACAAAAATGTCTAAACAACAGTTAAAAGACAATCTGGCAGAAAGGTTACCGCACAGTTACCGTTAAATTACAGTAAAATGTCTTATTTTATGTTATTCTAATAGTATGTGACATTTTGTTCTGCTGTTGTAAACAGGAGGCATCTAGACGCTTTTCCATGCCGACATCAGGCCTGGAGAGTCAGCTCAAACAAGAAAACTTCATCCTCGGCAGCTCAGCGTAATACTCCACATATCTAACAATTTCATTTAAAGAGGTGGTATAATGGAAAAAAAAATAGGCTTGATATGGATCAGGGTGATGGCGGAGATCCTCTGCTGTCAAATTTCTTAACTCTGTCACTGTAGTATTTTTGCTTTAGGTTTTGAAACTTGCACATTGTGACATCACACCAAACCATGATGTCAGATGCATAAGGATAAGCCGACCCACTGTGCAGTGCTATGCTGAGAGTGTAGGGAGCTAGATAACAATAGCTGTACTAAAGCTAAGCTAAGGAGCTGCCTCCTACATTACAAAAACAAACACAATCCTGCCATTTTGTAGCATATATTTGAAGTTTCTACTCTGCAACAGCAGGTTCCTCTCCTTCTAACTAAGCATCAGGCCCTGGTTCATATAGGGCCTAGCTCATATAATCATATAGCTCATATAGTATAGTTCATATAACATCTTGTTTCCAGCTACAGCCTGTTACGCCCCCGTCAAGGGGAAGAGGAGCACAACATAAGAGGTAAAAGATTTGTTCCCTCCCTGGTCCCCAAACTACAGACCAATAGTCACATTACAATTTTTGGCTAGATTTATTACTAGTAAAGGTGATAAGGTAAATGAAGGAAGTGCCACAAACGCAGGGTTGAACCTAGGCCAAAATAACAAGCAAAATAACTTATTCTGTAACAACAGTGCTAAGCCCACAGTGAAAGAAAAACAACCAAAAGACAATACTGACTGTCTCCCTAAGCAGATGAAACAGGAGACAAGAGATTGAAACAAAATGGCAGTTAAGCTTCCAGACTAAACATTGCTCATACAGGAGCCAACAAGTGTAATCTAGTTATCCAGTGTATATGGAATACTTACAAAGAGCCTGAATCTAACACACTGGATCATAGAATAAACAGAATTTGTACAGACTGACGCCAAGGACAGGAGTGAAAAGGTCTGCTGTTAAGCAGCCACCCAGGTTTGGAAGACGACTGAGGATTAAGAAGTCTTGGATGCGCCAATCACTGGCAAAGTCCTCCCCTCGAGTCCAGCCAATCAGCCACAGACACCTAGACTCTCAGACAACTCACTCAGGAGAACCCCCCCCCCACAGGCATCTACACCTTTGTGGTTTTTTTCCAGGGTAAAATCTGGTAATTATTGACAGGCAACCACATGGAAGAGAGCATCAGCTAACAGGTTCTCAGTTTCTTTTTATGTTTAACTTACAAATTGAAATCTTGGACAAGCAAAACCCACCTCATCAGCCTTTATTTGAAATTTTCATCTGAGTTAAAAATAACAGGGCATTGTGATCAGTATAAACAACCACAGGCAGTGAACTGGAACCAACATACACGTCAAAGTGTTGTTGGACAAGA